GAATCCAAATTGTATAAAGCTCGAATCTCTGTGGCTGGCATTGTCAAAGGACTTGAATTGTCCAGCCGCTTGACGATAGAGATTTTCTACATATGTAACTTCAGCATCCAGTGGTTGTATCGCGCCACCAGAAACTAGAAAAGGTGAAGCTCCTATAAGAATACTGTAACAGGGAAAAAATTGAATAGATCACAATCAGCAAAAAAAACTACGAGCAAGTGATTTAATGAGACATTTGAGACGTTACGCTTTTAGGTCGTCAGTCGGATTGCTGTAACTGTATAATTTTATAGAGCAGAATGTTAGTAATAATTAAAGAGAAAATATCAAATGTGGCACATTAGGGCATGCAGTACATACGGGTTCACAGATAATCTCAATACATTTTGAGCCCTTTCCAAAAATTCGTTTGTCAAAACTCCCCAATCCAAAGTTGTGAAAGGATTCGAAAGGTCCAGCTGAGCGTTTTTATAATCGGATATAGCGACGACGGCCGAATTAAGACGATCGGTTGGTACAGAAGACATACATCTTCGAAATTGTAACGAATACACCAACAATCGTGTCACTAGTTGGATCACCATTCCGGTCGGATAGTTCTCCTGCTCATTAACGGTATTGTTATTCAACCTTTGAATAAGAGCGTCAACATCCTCCACTCTACTTTTCGAGGGTAGTTGGCCTTTGATTTCTTCCAAACGTAACATGCGTTGCGTGTTTTTGTTGAGGGGCAATATATCTCCTCTGTAAGACTTGGAAATATACTTTTGGAGGTTAACACTTTCGGCAAAACGAACATTCGGATCCTTTTGCTCGTTGAGGGGTGCAGTGCCTTGCAAAAGACTAACTAAACTTTGAACATCAAGAAGAAGGTCTACCATGTTGTTTATGAGAAAAGGGATAGCGATAAAGACAGAATGATGGAGAATAGCATTTTAAAGCATTCTTTTATATATATATCCTAGTCATACCGCAGAAATTTCCTATTTAAGGTTGACAATGGTAGTGAAAGACAAAGGACGTTTTATTAAAATTTAATTTGTCATAACCAACATTAAACACAATTTCTATTTTCATATTTTTCATTTAAAATTTCTATTTTTCATTTAAAATTTTCTATTTTCGTCTTCTCATTTAAAGGCTTACTCGTTTCTCGAAGTTTCTACTGGTACTAAAATGTTTAAATAATAAAGCATTCAAATATCACCTAAAATGTTTAGATAATAAAATATTTAATGCATTAATGAAACATTCAAGTTTATTTAGTAAATATTTATCGATAAATATATTCTAAAGGTGATGCAAAACGTATTTAATAAAAATCAAATGACCTCGACTAATTAAATCAAGAGCTTCGGAAAATCTTAATGTTAAGCACAATAAATCATTTTGTTTTTGAGAAACAATTTATCAAACAAATTGTCTACCTTCACCAATCCAAAAATTGTCTTATACATTCTGGTTACATAAGTGATCCATATTCTTTGGCTAACGAAACAATAAAATTTTTTAATCGATAGTTCTTAAGGTTTTTGTCAGATAATAATCTCATTCTTATTTTTAAAAACATAAAAATAACATTTAAAGAATATAATCTACTAACAAAATTTTGTTTTCACTTATTTTGCAAAAGAAGATATAAATAAAGACATAATTCAAAAATAATGTTATTAGTTTATCCTCGAGACTTGTAAATTTTTTGTTAATAATCTCATATTTGCAAAAAACCATTATTCTCGAAAACTGAAAAATGATCTAGCTAGTGTCCCAGTTTTCTGCAAATGCAGAATTTGCAAAATTTGCAAAATTTGCTGCAATTTGCATGTGTATTTTGCATAATGATGATGTGATTTTGCAATTTTACACTATAAAAATGATCTATACGAAATTTTTATATGATTACAAAATAGTTAATGATAAAAGGTATGCATAATTAAATTGAAAATTAAAATTCGGTAACTTTGATATCTCGATCTAATACATGTAGTCTAATTTGACAAAAATAGAACGTCTAAACTAGATGCGTCCCGAAGTTACCGAATTTTTTAATTTTTTTAAAATTTGTTCGTTTTTTTTGATCTGCAGAATTACTGCGGGTAAACTGTAATGTGTGACAAGTTTACGCCGAATATTGTTTCTAATAAAAAGTAGGAAGACAAAATCTTGATACCAGTCCTGACACTTCTGGATGATCCGACGTAACCTATCACATACGCATGTTTAGCTAACCATCTTAAAACCAACCCTCTAACGAACAATGCACATAGCTTTATTGATAAGAATTCTCAATATTAATATCCCGATAATTTTAGAAAAATTCTTCAAAACTAAAAATAGGATACAAAATTCTTCATACAGGAATCTTTGTTGACTCGGTCAAAAATATTTTGTTTGCATCCTTTTTTTGGACGATATGAATAATTATGCATGAAAAATTTTATGCAGTTTCGATATTTTTTTGGATAAAGCAAAATTCGCGGGGTGGCTAATTTGGCATTTTTTTCGTTTTGAGAGAACTTCAACCAATCTTAAAAAAATTGATAGATCCAGATTTCACGGGAGGTAACAAGCCATTAATGGGGGCATTGTGCATTCTAGTTAAAGAGTTAAAAGAATTTTTGTTGAGATTTGATTAAAAAATCAATTTAGTTCAATCAATTAACAATGACTCCGAATGCCATTGCAATTATGCCAAAGGAACTGTTGAGAATT